TTTTTTGGGTTTATTCCAAAAAACTGGGGCGTTTTAAAAATCTTTTTTTTTTTTTTTTTTTAAAAAAAAAAAAAAAAAAAAAAAAAAAAAACGTTATATTTGTTTCAGTTAGAGGAGCAGAAATTACTCTTGTTTTGAGTTTAAACCTTTACAAATTTTGCAACAGACTGGTCTGACAAGTCATATTTCACTTGCAAACACTTCCACGTTTAAAATAAAAGCCTCACACAGTCTCTTGTTTCCGACTGATGTACAGGTAGACTGTCAGGGTTTCATTAGTGCAGAAGATGGTCAGCGTTTCTTGTGTACTAAAATGCTTCACTTAATGTTGTGTCACTTAACCTTGGATATATTTTATATTATGTAGAGGTGGATCAGTGGATCAGTTACTTAAATATGCTTAAATATTAACTAAATGTTTTTGCTGTTTTGAAGTGTGAAAAATGCTTTGGTTTGAGAAAATATGTATCATTTTTATAGACTTTGCTGATTAACAGACCACTCTGTAATCCAGGGTTAATATTGGTAATGTATTATTTAGTTCATCGTTCTTTACTTTGCTTGCTTAGCCAAACATTAAACCAAACTTCCCTTGACATAACCTCCAGCTCTCAACTGACTATAAACACAGCAATTGTTTACATGCATAGATTTTATATGCAACATTCTTTCACCAAATTCCATAGAAATGTAAGTATTCCAAGTTACGATGGTTCAGTCGGCTTGTTTCAGCTTGTTGAGTATACATTATGTTCTATATTCTTATGTGTTGCTGTCTTTTGCAGATAATATCTCCAACCACCCTATTTTTGGCTGCAAAAGTGGAAGAGCAACCCCGGAAGCTTGAGCATGTAATTAAAGTAGCACATGCTTGCTTAAATCCACAGGAGTCTCCTCTAGACACGAAAAGTAACGTAAGTGCTGGTATTTTGGGTTACTGTAAGGTTGAAAGTTGGGTTTTTTTCCTCCCTCCCTCCCCCTGTCTTTCCTCTGTGGTCATGGTTTCACCTTTGTATAAATGGCTGTGCCACTTTCTGCTGCCATATTTAAGGGGTCTTATTTTTCTTGCCCTGGCTTGCAGTTGGTGTGTACCAAGCACCCACTGATTACCACCACTCACTTTATGACTAAACTGAGCCGTAGAGCTGTTTGGCCATTTTAAATCACTTGTTAGGGAAATAAATTAATAGACTCATTACAATTGTGTTGTAATGATTGTCTATCAAACTTCAGGCATACCTCCAGCAAGCTCAAGAGCTGGTGATACTTGAATCCATTGTGCTGCAGACCCTGGGTAAGTAATGGTGACTGGAGTGGATGACTTGAGAGCTTTTTCTATAACTTTGGTAATGGTAACGAGTAAGGGTCTAATTATTATTTATTCTTCAGTGTATCGACTTTTTGATTGCAATGTTATATCATCTACTCTGTGGTTACCATATTATTGCCATATTGTAAATGCATTGTGTAAAGGTGATATGTCATTTTCTGGAAGTCGAGCCGAGAGATTTCTTTGTAAGACTTAAAACATTTTATGATATGAGTAAAACTGTATGGACTCTTTTTTGCTACTTTTGACGCATTTTGTCCTCCACTGTGGATTTGGTTGAGGCACTTTGGATTGATTTTTTCCCACTAATTAAACATTTTTTATGCAGAAGAAAACCCAAGTTGGCTGCTTATAGAAAAACATTTCTCTATTTTTTTTTCTGCCATTAAATGACATGTCACCTCCCAACTGTGTATGTGTTGATCTCACCTGTTATGTATTTTGTTCCAGGCTTTGAAATTACTATTGATCACCCACACACTGATGTGGTGAAATGTACCCAGCTAGTGCGAGGTAGAGGCTTCCTTCTTTGTTTATGTTTGTCCCCACCTCAGATGTGGGTGGGGGTAAGGGTAACCTTGCTGATTTAATAGTTTAATGACCACAATGGTTTTTAATCATCTGAGTTTGTTGTGTGACATATTGTTCCTCAGAAAGTTCGCCATTGCCTTTTGGGCCAAGACTGAGACTTAATTGCTTTGAAACAGTTTAACCTTTGAGTTCTTTCAAATTTGTTTTTTTATGCATATATATATATATATATATATGAAAAGCATGTGGCCTTTACCAGGATATTATTTAAGTCTGCCCTTAAGCACAGCCCACATAGCCATTACATATTCAACAACAATTACATCAAAAATTGTTAATCTTTGTTTTTAAAAATGATGGCGAAGAAAATTGTTTTACTTTTTACCCTTTTGGGTCTTGATTTATGTCATTTTAGAACTTGGTATTTAATCTTTGCTGTACGTCTTTCTCACAACTTTATGTTCCTCAATCACATTCTGAAATACTCTTATAATGTTTAAAATTTTCTAGCTTAGGATTCACAACGTAATCTGCAGAAACTTGCAATGATTTTCTCACAACAAAACAATATATGATTCCGTTTACTGATCGACTTTTTTTATTTGACCTTTATTTATACAGGTTGTCTTATTGAGGTCCAACATCTCGTTTACTAGAGACCAGTTTTGATAAAATAAATGAGCAAAAAATATAACTTTGGCCGTTAAACTTATTTAGAAATATCCTTTATTGTCCTACAATAATGGAATTTATGTGCAATATTAGCGCAATATTAAATTCAATATGTTAATACAGAATAAAGAACAATAATTTGCTTCCCCAAGTCTGGATCTTGGCTCAATATGTGCACTGGAAATTAGAATAAGAATGCTAAACATAAAGTTAAATTACGTTTGTCTGCAACAGTACTAATATTTCTTTTATGTTTTTGTCTGTTTCCTTTTTGTCTCCCTTCTACAGCAAGCAAGGATCTGGCACAGACTTCCTATTTCATGGCTACCAACAGGTTGTTATCCTGCCCCTCCTTTGTTGCACTTTGACTGCACACCATAGCTTCCTGTAATGCAGGGTACCCTTTCAGTGTCCAACGGGCCCTACTTGCACTGGTGGTTGTTGGGACGCTTGCCTCCCTCCCCCTCGGCTCCCCTCCCTTCCCCAGAGGTAGCGGGATATGGTGGCTTGTAGCGTTACCGGCCCCAGTCGCAGTGCGGTGTATTGTACAAGGGACCACGTGTTGGCACAGATGGGTTGAATGCAAAATGTGAAGTATAGTGGTGCGCTTGAAAACCACATGTTTGTTCGGTTGCGAAAAAGTGCATAATTCTAAGCGAAAGACACTCTGGTAGCCTGAATATCAGCTAAAGATTTCACAGATGTAAACATTTCTCGTAGAGGTCCTTCCGGTAAGTACTGCAGATGACTTTTTAAAGTTTTCTTTTCATGTTATGTTGTTGTATTATTGCCCAAAAAATACTGTTAAACCTTAACTGTACCACTAAACACATTTTTTTTCCTAGCTATGCAATATTTATATATTGCAAACCTAAAATTCAAGAAAGCAGGAAGTACTGACTCATTAAGGACCCTAAAGCTGTAATTGGTTTACCTCTAGCAGGGGTTGGTCAATTAATTTCCATTGTTAGATATTTGATTTACAAAAACTGGGTCCTTAAAGGGTTGATTTAAAGTAGGTGGTGAAAAGGCACTTAAAAATTATCTTTAGTAACAGTTCAGTGTTCACATTATCTACATGAAGACTGATCTATACCTGCTGCTCACTAATGGTCATGATATAGCCTATGACTTGGAGATGACCTTGAAGTATATTAATTGTTTTTATGCTGATTCAGATTATTTTTTATTTTGTCCTAACATGTAAAAGTACAAACTAGATTACCTTTACAAATATTACCAGAATCACAAAATTTCAGACGTTGTGTTCATCTCCATCTACATGGATGTGCATGTTTTCAGAGAACCATATTGTGAATTTGATTAAAAACATTTCTACTGAAATCATTATGCATTTAAGCTGTTTGTACAGTAGGTGCTTATTTTACCCCCTACTTTAAAATTCAAGGAGCAAGATCAGAGTTAAGTGTTTCTGCTGGATCATAACAGCCACTTTCTGGATTGAAATTATTTACTTTTGTTGTGTTTTCTGCCTTTTTTTATGTGCCAGTTAAGGTCGCATTATATTCAATGGGCTTTACAGTAAATCCTCGCTGGATATTTTATATCTACAAATAGTGTATACCACCAGTATGTTAACTAGCCTTCACCTTGCTAAAAAGACACAAAATGTTGGTATTATTTAGATACCATTTTGATGTCAATATTTTGGTGGCAGTTTCTCAATCATTTGCTATCCTGACTCTGAGCTGTATGTATGTATGTGCTTGACTCACTGACTCCATTCAGCTCCACTTTTTTCAACATGTACTAAGTTAGATTTAGGAGGACTAAGATTTTCTTGAAGTTGTATGTTGTGGTTCTGACTAGTAGCTGATTTTTTGTGTTTTATTGTCTTCTGTGTTCTTGACAAGGAGCAAAAAAGTCTACTACTTAGAAAAAATAGCAGGAAAGTGGCTCTGTCTTTGAAAATGTTTAATACATTTATAGACTTGTTTACTATGAATTTGAAATTAGAGTAAAAAGGGTCGTTATTTAAATATGATACCGTGTAATACAAGTAACATTATTTATTATTATAATTTGCAAGTACAATTTTTGCCATAAGTTTGTCTCATCTGTATCAAGTGAGTGATTGGGTGGGTAAAAGTCTCCTATTTATACCAAACCACCTCCTTGCCAATTATCACTTTTATTATTAATGTGTTTTAACTTTTAGCAGGTTTGGTTAGTAGGAAATGAACCACAGTTAGATTTTTAAGTCTTTTTATTGTATCAAAACACTTAAATTGCTTTCACTGCCATTTTGACCCAACACCAACAGTATATTAAATCTGTCTGCTCCCTCTTGTGTTCTTCCTCTCTTCTCCACATGTTGGATGGATTTTGACCTCCCATGGCCTGATGAACTTCCTCATATCCCCTCACCCGTTCTGCAGTTTGCACCTCACTACCTTCTGCCTCCAGTACAAGCCCACAGTGATCGCCTGTGTATGCATACATCTGGCCTGCAAGTGGTCCAACTGGGAGATTCCGGTTTCCACTGATGGGAAACATTGGTGGAAGTACGTGGACAGCACAGTGACTCTGGAGCTGCTTGATGGTGAAGTCATACTATTACCTACATCTAAGATTTACTGTTAGTTATTTAAGCAAATTAAGGAATCAAAACTAATTATGTGAATTCTAAAATGTTTTATGTTTATCCTTTAAACTTTCAGAGCTGACTCATGAGTTTCTGCAGATTCTGGAGAAAACTCCAAGCAGACTGAAGAGAATACGGAATTGGAGGGTAAGATATTACAATACTATATTTTTTTATATTCGACTGCCTTGGAAAATAATTCACAACTCTTAACCATTTCACTGACACACAAGCTACTCTAGTTTTGAGGTTTCATGTGACCCACAAATTGGGAAGTAGATGGAAATAATTGCATCGATGTGTTTACAAAAAAATCTAAATCATGTATCATACTTTCTATATGCTGTGTTTTGTGTTGGTCTGTCGCATAGAATCTCAATAAAATAAAGCAGAAGTTGTGATTATAATGTAAACATGTGAAAAAACCAACTTCTTGTACAAGTTTATAATTGTGTCATCTCAGTTGTCTTAAAAAAACAACCTAAAACTAAATTTCTTTGCAAATCTTTGCCCTCTAGGCGACACAAGCTGCAAAAAAGCCCAAAAGTGAAAATATGCAGTCGATGGATAACGCATTTTCTGGGCCTTCATTGCTCCAGGACCACGGCGATACAGCACTTCCTGGAGTTTCCTCGTCCAACCCAAGTTTTTCCAAAGCAGGTGCTGCCTTTTCTGTACCCATGCCCGGGCATTCCAGAGGGGTCCCGTTGTCTCTGGACGCCATGGCTGCCACGTACAACCCAGCCAGCCACAGTGAATGGCCTCAGGTTAACCAGAGCCATTACCCCTCCACCTGCATAAAACAGGAACCGCTCAGCATCTCCATCCATGAATCCATGCTGTCTCTGCAGACTTCCACTTCCTCTTTGCTCCAGCACCCTCCGCCTTACAAGACTGAAAAAACAGTTGATTTAAACCTTGTTAAGCAAGAGAAAGGAACAGCAGGCAAGCATCACTCAACACCTCAGCCTGCTTACCCTCCTTCCGGTCAGCCTCCAGTTCTGAAACTGTCTCTGGATAAATACAGAGAGAAACATTCTGCAGAGTATACTGTCCAGAAGCGTAGGCAAGACCCCCATGGAGGACTAATGGACTGTGATGTAAAAGGCGACTTAACTTCCTCTTCTACCTATGCACCACCAAACATTACCCACATAGAACATAGAAAACATGCACAGCCTCATCAAGCCTCCCAGAGCGGCAACACGACAGCTTCCCCTCTGAAAATGAAAATCCCTTCCTCCTCAGCTTCTTCAGGGCAAGACAGACGCCATCACGGAGACAAAGCCTCGCTCAAGCTTCGTCTGCCTGTCCCCGGGTCCAGCAGCAACGCTCTGCCAGAAAAGAGCGGACAACCAATCAAAGATGAGTTCAAGATGAAGATCAAAGTTTCCTCATCGGAGCGGCACAGCTCATCAGATGAAGGCATTTCCGCCAACAACAGCAAGAGCAAACATTCCAGCCCGCTGGTGAGCAAGGAGAAGCATCGCAGCGCCGAGCACAACCTCCATCGCCCCCACAAGCACAGCGGCAATGGGCGAGGGGCCGCTGAGGCTCCGGGTTTGCTGCGAGTTCCTCCTGGTCTGGTGGCAATGGAAGGAACGGCGCTCGGTCATCCCACGTCCGCCACTTTGACGTCGTCATCACGAAAGAGGGCCTACGCCGAGGGCGGCCACAACCACCACCCCTCATCTTCGACTTCCTGCTCCAAAGTGAGCAAAATCTCCAAGAGTGGCACTAGTGCTGCAGGTACTCCATCTTTTTCTTCCCCCTTTCCTCCTCCTCGCTCTTCTCCTGTACTGCAGTGTGTCTCGTCCGGCTCGTAGCTCTGTGGCTAACTTCCCTCCCCTCCTTCCCTCCTCGTCTTCCTCCTTATTCTTGTCTCTCTTCTTCCTCCTCCTCCCCTCCTGTCATACCCAGGTGGGCTGCGGACCTCTCAGCAGTTCCTCCCTCCTGGCGAATCGCCACATGAAGTGGGAGAGCAGAGACACTGAATCCGACGCTCTGCAGCACATGGAACTGGCACCAAACTACCGACCACTGAGACTTTGAAGACTATGCTGACCTCTTTGTCAAGTGCCCTAAGAAAATAACACTTTGTGAATATAAACCCTTTACTGAGAGGCAGAAAGCGTTGCTGCAAATAATTATTGTTGGACTTCTCTGTTTCTGAGAGACAAGAAAGATGAATAATTATGCTTCCTGTCGCACCTCGGGGCTGTGACGTTCAGTCCTTTGTTTGTTAGTGTTGAATTGCTGCTCAGTTTTCACTTTCTCCTCGAAAGGGTGGAAGAATTTGCGAACGTGGATGCGTGGGGTGGGGAAAGGTTCCAACCTCACGTTGTAAGACCTCCATATGAGAGGACAAGTATTACAAGTTCTATAAAAGCATGAAAGGTGCACTTTCTTCATTTTCATGTTTGTTTGTTTTTGTTTTTTAGTAATTTAAATATATTGCGTGATTATATGGAAGAAGTTATCTGGCCAGCTGGAGATGAGTTAGTTTGTTTTCTGGAATTCCCCTTGATACTGTTAATGGATGCAATATTTTTTAGGTGTAAAGTTCCATCTCCAAAATTACTTTCTGGTCTTGGTTTCCTTTTTTATACTTAAACTGCATTTGATTTGCATGTTTCAATCATCAAAGGGATGTGAGAGAGGAGCACTTAACTTGCTGTTTACAAAAAAAAATGGAGATAAATGTACATATGTTTCTTTTGTATGTTTAAAAAAGAAGCTATACCATGACTACTCAGGTTTGGAGCTGCTTGTAATTATAACAAGATGACTATAATACATATAAAGGTTTTATTTCACGGCTCAGTTGATTGGAGGTCACCGACTGAATGATTGCAGCATTCCAGGAGTTCGACTTTCTGTAGATGGTGTACTGTTGGATTCCCACTACAACAATATCACAGCAATCATTTTGTACCAAAAACCTTCACTTCTAAGTAGACCTTAAGCTGGACGCCAAAGGTTGTGCCTCACAAAAAAGGGATGCTACTAATATGATACTAAAGTTTACATCAGGTGGATCAAACATTGCATAAATTTATCAGCCCATTTAATCACATTTAGGTCGTATTAAATCTAGAGAAAAATATTTCTTGTAGGCAATGCCAGACCGATTGAGATTCTCTCCTCTCATGTATATGTTTGGGAATACCTTTAACACTTGAACCATCTCTTTCAGCTTACATTTCTCTCAAGAGCCTGTACCCTATAAACCCGTCTGTATTGTAAAGCATCCAACATACCATATTGGTCCAAGGCCGGTGGTGTTTGTATGTAATAAAGCATTTACAGTTGAACATTAAATGAAAAACTGCAATTGTTTGAGAAAAAACATGAACCACTCATCACGTCTTTCCACTTCTTATTTTAATATAATGAATAAACTTCATTGCCGTCACCATTACACTGTACAAAATCTTTTTTTTTTTTTTTAAATATGGCATACAATTCATCTTTAAATGGTAAACATGGTTTATTCCTCTATGGTTCAGTGGAGTGGACAAGTATTTCCTGCTTTATAAATTTCATTTGTGCCGTTTTCTGTCGTGTGTAATATTTCAGATCTGTATTAAAATTTCATTTCATGACCTGAGTAAAAAAGTTTTAAAAGCTTCATGTACTAAGGGAAAGTTAACTTTTTAAAGGAAATAATTAGAGAACAGCTTTTTTATTTATTCACGGCGTCTGTCTTTTTTTATGATCTGAAAAAAGACGAATCTCTTGTTTTCTGTGGAAATAAAAACTCTTTTGGGTCAAATACTTTCAGCACTGAACCATTAAGAAAAATTACTTAGAGTTTATATGATCACAAACCTTTTAGTTCTAGTTAAATTGATATGCATTAAACTGGCACAGTATATTCATTCAACATAAAGACTGAAGTTAATAATCACTGATCAGAGTACAGTATTCAGGATTAATTTACATGCTAGAAACAGTTTCCACTGCACTCAGATGTAGGTTTGAAACCTAAATGCATTTTAATAACGTAGAATATATTCAGAAAGTTTCAATACACACAGTGATACATTTCAATTGTTTGTGGTTAAACTTAACTTCAACTTCAGCTCATGACAACCCAACATTTTTTTGTAACAGAAAATTACATGAGACAAAATATTTTTATGTTCTTTACCAGCCTTTATGACTTACTCAACCATTGTGAATACTGCTTACTGACACATGGAGGATAATTCACTGAAGGTCAGTGGGTTGCATTGAGAAGTTGAGTGGAAGGAAAAACTGTTCAAAAAAATGTGCGTGAAACGGATGGTTCCAGCTGTCCTAAACACCATGTAGAATCTATAGGTAACATTTATAGGCTCAAAATCCTTAATTTGAATTATTTAGATTAGTTTTAGGCCATTATAATTTGAAATTTATATTTTTGCATAATTTATTTTACTTTGTGAATTGAAACACAGGAACAATTTGAGATTTTTCTGATATTCCAGTTTGAAATGAACCTTTATCTCATAACCACAGAACTGACGCTCCAATGGCAATAGTTTATAAAATGTGGCATTTGACTGTTTTGTAGATTTGTCATCTGCTTTGACATTTATTCTATACAAACCATTAAACATTCAGTACTGAATACACTTTACACATAATTTTTTATAAAATTGGCACATTTGTTAATCTAAAGTGTACAATAATATCTACAATTTACACACAATTGTATCATTTGGAGTGTATTCACAGTGGTTTTGATACCACAATATATTCATTTTTGAGCTGTGAACTTAAATGATTAGATATTATTTAATGCCTCTGAATTTAAGAACCAGTTATCCCAATTTAAACACTCACTTTTGTACCACAACATTTCTTTTTCTGTGCTTCCCAGTATTTGATACTTGTGTGCCCTTTAGGAATGAAGGAATGTTTCAGTAACTGGTCAGCTGATGGCCGAACACTCTGGTCACTAGAAATTAAAAAGAGACAATAAGTTGCAGATATTACAGTAAGACGTCTGATACTGTCATAATTAAATTATAAATGAACCACTTACCTTGTCAGACAGATTTTTACAAAGTCCTTGGCGTTCTCTGAGAAGCCATCTGGCAGGGATGGCATTAACCCTCTTCTAGCCCCAATGTAGAACAAGGCAGCCATTTTATCCATATGTGCAAGAGGTGGTTTCCCTGTGGCCATTTCAAACACTGTGCAACCAACACTCCAAATATCTGACTTCCGGCCATACCCCGATTCATTGATGACCTGGTTAGAAAAAGGAGAAATAAATGACAGGATGTCTGCATGTCTTTATACGGTTCATAAAAACTGCCTTGTAGGACTTTGAGGTAATAGTTGTCCACCTGATAGTCCGGTGGATTTGATTGGGGACTAAAATTGTGACATTTATTACATTATCAGCTGGTGCGGTTTGCTTTCGCACTGCACTGTCAAACAATTCAAACTAATTTAAAACCTGTTTTCCCCCTCGCTCCTGGTGCCGCTGCACCAACAACTGCTAAAGTAAATGATACAAAACCTCAAAAAAAGATATGAGCGCAACTTCCATCTTCACAAAATGTAAACAAAAACAGCAGCAGCATCGGATTTGAGCGGTTTTAGGATTTGTCTTTGGTAAAACACCACAAGCCATCTCTCCCTCTCGTGTTAGAGTCTTGTGTTTGTTTTGGTTCTGTTGGCCTAGATGCTATGTGCTCTAGTTTACTTTTGGAGCAGTCTCTGGTCTACTTGACATTCACATATGCATTCAGACCGCATCAGAGTTCACTTCAATGCAACCAACACCTAGGTTTGGAGACGAACCAGAGTTCGCTTGTTTGGTCCACATCAGAACTCGATTAATAATTCATGCCTCTCCAAACAAACCGGATTTTCTAGACAAACTAGAGTTCTATTAAAACGGACTAAACGCAGCTGGTGTGAATTCACCCTAAGTTGACCGTCCAACGTCAAAGGGAACTTAGATCAAATGTCCATCACATCTCACAAATTTTTTTATAAAAGCCTAAAAAATAAACAAATCTAACTTACCTCTGGCGCCATCCAATAAGGTGTACCGTGGATGGATTTCAGCAGCTCTCCACTGTTTGGAGCTGTGGGGTTGAGGCAGCTGAGGCGTCGTGCACAACCAAAGTCTATGAGCTTAATGACACCAGTTGGCATCAACATGACATTGTTTCCTTTTAAGTCCCGATGAATCACTCTGTTCTGATGAAGGAATGCCACCCCTTCCAGGATCTGATGGGTGTACAGAGCCAACACTCTTTCTGGCAGAGGACCAAATCTAAGGGGAAAATGGAAACAGTCCTTGTTAATTTGGCATTCAAGCTTTTTGCAAGATATTTTAAAGTCAGTAACAAATAATTTCAACCTGTGAAGTATGCTAGCAATAGATCCACCAGGGATATACTCCATGAAGATGGAAACAACATGTTGGTAAAGAGATGTCCCCAGAAAGCCAACAATATTGCTGTGGCGAAGGGTTTTAAGTAAGTCCACTTCCCCCTGAAGACGATTGTACTCCTTCTTTGCAGCATCAGGGTCAGACGAATCCAGGCAAACCTGCTTTACAGCAATCAACTGGCCCTGACTGGTCAGACCGCAGTACACCTGGTGAGGTGATGATTTCAGTCAGTTGTTTGAAGACATACTGCTGAAATAAACTGTACCGAATAGTAAAACTAGCCTGATATAAGTTAATATTTTTAGCAAGTTACAGCACTGGGATATGTTTCTAATACAAAATACCAACACGATGTCATCAACAACTTACTCATGTACTTAGCTGCAACTTTATTTGAATACTTACTGTCCCATAGGCACCCTTCCCAAGCACTTCACCCTTAGCCCATGTTATGGTGTCATTTGCAACCAACCCTGATCCAAGGTAAGTGTTACTGTCATTTCGAGCAACCTGCAATGAAATGCATAGGAACATAATTATCTAATTAAAGTATTTCAAACACACAGGTGCTGACATAAGAATTTGCTGGATTTTAGCTTTACATCTATTTCTGTCCTTCATTTTTCAACTTTAGATTGATAGTAGTTAATTAAAACACTAACTACTATCATAAAGCATTTATGATGTCTGTCATAAATGCTAGAAAGTAAAGGAAGATGGACAAATAGGACACCCTCTGATAGATATGTTTGTCGAAGACATTTGGTTTGGTCCTGCTTTGTCTTCTTCAATTCAAAGTTTATTACACACCATTTATGTTTCTGGCCCTTTATGTCAACTATAATGACTTTAACACTTACAGCTAGTGAAAACAAGACATTTAAGATTAGAATATTTCATCAGACCTAAAATTATTTTTTTTACACATCAAGGTAAGCTTAATGAAACATATGTTTACCACCTGCTTTCAAGGTTGTTATTTTCTAAAGGTTATTTTCTAAAGTCTGATCAATACGACTCATCGGAATGCATACTTTAATTTTGTGAATATGACTATGTTAGGTTAACTGGTTTCTGAATTGCCCTTAGGTGTGTGTAGGGTTGTTATGGTTGTTTGCCTCTGTGATGGACTGGTGACTGGTCTACGTAGCATCTTTCCTATTGGCCACTTGAGTTGGAAACTCTCATCCCAACCCCTGCAATGACTAAAGGCATAGAAACTGGATTTAGTCATTTTTAGGCTGAATGTTACCTCAGGAAGTGCTTTTTTTCCTGATGCATGCTCTTCTTCATCATGGATCTCCTTTTTTCCATGTTCTGAGTTTTCAAGAGCCGCAGAAACATCCCTCTCATCCAAAGAGATCAGCTCCTCTGCCAGACATTGCAGTAGGTCATCTGTCAGCGGACCCTCACCCACCTCGTTCAG